CATGATTCCTATCTCCTGAAATATCTCACAAACACTTCACTTACTCTTATTGACTATTTGTAAGTTACAATTGGTCTGGTGACCTGAATGTCTACAGAAGGAAGCACTAACTATGGCATAAAAAGTCAGTTAGAAGTGAGCACTTCTCAGGCTACAAAGATCACTTCTAGAGGTAGAGAGAACCATTGACTGGAGAGATTTGACCCCATGCACTGAACCAGTCTCCAGACACTTGATTTCCATCTGATCACCTAGGTAAGCATTTCTAGCAACTAAACAAGATTTAACCTTGAAGCTCACAGGTGAAACATATTTATTATCTAGCAATTACATTTTACATGTTGTTAAAGACAATATAGCTGGCAAAAATCTTACTCTTAGTTAACACATAAGGCACAGATGCAAACTTCCCCTGATAACCACTATTGTAAACTGTCTCAGCCTTATTTCTGAAATAGTGACCTATTAACTTGTTCTGCTGAAAAGCTCACGTAGAAGTCCTACTTTGCTAGCAGAGAGAAAGTACAATAGGTAAGTGGAGATCTTTTGTGGCCAGGGGCCAGTTTTCACCAAGGAACCTTTGGGTTTGGTGCCTTCTCCCCTCAGGCATTCTTTGTTTCTTTTGGCCCACACAACCAGAGATGTCTCCAGAAAGGAATCCAGTAGTTTCTCTGGTCAACATTCCATCAGCCATAGACTTCAATGGGAATTCACCAAAGAACAGCTGGGGAAACCTGTCCTCTCTTCAAAGAGTGGCAGCTGCTCTAAGAGCATTTACTAGCTGGCAGAGTAACCACTGTTCATCCAAATTCTATAAGGGATGGTTAAAAGCCTAAACTAGACCTGGGAGAAAAGTTTGAATCCTCCCTCACACTAAATGTATTTTAGTCCCATAAGTGTGCTGCTTTTGGAGACAGCTTCTTCTGGTGTCACCCAGAAGTCAGTTCTCTCCACTGTGTTTCAGGTCTAGCCTCCCGAAGGAGACCTGCCCTGGAAGGAGACCTGCCCAGAACACGAAGCTGGGACATGGCTTTTATATGTGTTTTTCTGGGCGGGCATAGTCCTCTTTGTCTTATCTGACCCAGAGAAAGAGTATGTGTCCTTTTTCTAAAATGACTTCCCTGTCTTGGGCGTTAACACACTCATTTTCCACACTCATTTTCTGAGGGCTTCACTTAGTTGGAATAGTCAGAGTTTTCCTAATTTTACATGCCTCTAAAAAGGAAAGTACAAAGAGGCAGAAAAATTAGGAATAAAGTCAAAGTAAGCAAACTGAAACAGATCAGGCCTGACATTCCCTCTAGCATGTAGAGCAGGATCAGAACCAATTTATCCCAGTGAAACCCATCCTCCAAGTCTTCAAGAATGATTGCCAACCTAATGTCATTTAACTGGCAAAAGGAGTTTCGTGTTTCATATACAGGCATGTATATTTTCTAAGTCCAAGCTGGCCAAAAGGTCCCATTTTACAGAAGTTTATATAAAATCCACTAGGAGGCTTCTAACATTACTCTCTCTAGTGCTAGTGTCTAAAATCGAGCAAGGAATACCAGTACATTTAGCAACTAGTTCAAATACAACCTATACAAGTACACAACAGTCATAAAATGTCCCATTAAAGAAATATAACCTTATAACATTTCCACGTTTTAATTTAAGATTTACCGACAACATTTTGACCAACATTTTACCAACAATATAAGAGACAAAACAGAAGCAATTGTAAGCAATTTTAACAGTACTATGTGAAGCAAAACTGCATGAGGCAAAGTATGATCAATTATGAGCAGTGGACAAAGACATATTAATATTTGAAACATAAATTTGTTACCTAAGCAAGTCCCAATTCAGAATTTATGAAAGAAAAGCAAACTCATACCTCTGTCCAATGATCTTGGTGGGAAACTCCAAAATGATACAGGGAGAAAAACTGGTCTCAGGTGGGTGACCTCCAAACAATATAGGGAACCTCCAAATGACATAGAGAAAAAACGATATCTGGACCTGACCTGCACGAGTTTGTGTTCTCTAAAACCGAAGAATGAATTTTAGGAACCAACGGAGGTTATGAGCAGAATATATTTATTGAGAGAAAGAAAGTTCCTGTCCCAAGAGAGGGACAGGAGGGGGGCCCGGCGGGTAGTTCCCCACCTACTCAATTTAATTTGACAGGATTTTTTTTATACCATTTGAAATGTAGGAGTTCTTTTATATGACCTAGATTTTAATAATAGAATAATTCTTGTAGATTTTATGTTTGCTATACAAAATTCAGAAAAATAAGTCATGTGATGGTTTGAATCTGTGTATCTTATTGTTTAGGAAGCTGAGGCAGGAGGATTACTTGAGCCTGGGATTCGAAGCCAGCCTTGATAACATAGTGGGACCCAATCTTTTTTTTTTTTTGGGGAACCAGGGATTGAACTCAGGCCCTTGCGCTTGCCAGGGAAGCACTTATTCCACTGAGCCATCTCCCTGGCCCCGGGACCCAATCTTAATGTTAAAAAAAGCAAGAAATAAAGATCATTTTTGTGTGAAGAATATCAGCACTTTATAAGACCGGATAAGAAAAGAAAAGATCACCCAGTCTTATATAAGAAACAACTTTTCGTAGTGCACCATTATAGGTAAACTATAGTTCCTGTTAGTTGACAAGAAGGAGTTTTAGGCAAAATATAAAGATAATTGGGCTAGCAGAGTAGCTCATTGCTAGAGCCCTTGTTTAGCATTCAAGACTCTCTGGTCTCCCCTCTCATTCCTTGTGGTGGAGTTGTGGGGTGGGGGACAGAGACCGAGAGAGACAGAGACAGAGAGACAGAGAGACAGAGAGAGACAGAGACAGAGACAGAGAGAGACAGAGAGACAGAGATGGAGAGAGACAGAGAGACAGAGAAAGACAGAGACACAGACAGAGACAGTGAGAGTGAAGGTGAGAAACAACAAAAATACCTGACCTTTGTGAGTTGATAGAAAAAGAAGTTTCTACAACAATAACAACAAAAAAAGACTGAAGTTGCTTCCCTGTAAGCTATATTATTTACATCAAATTGAGGATTTTTAAAAATTTGAGAGTCATAATTCATCCCCTCTTTGTCATTTATCTTGAGTTACCTGTATTGCTGAAACTTGTCAAGAGAGGCACTAGGGTGATTTCTCTTCTTCATTCAGAGCCTTTCCCTCATTTCCTCTCTGTATCTCTTATGTTGGATTGCCTCCCCCTACACAGACACTGCATGTAGTAGTTGGGTACATTGTGCATTTCAGGTGTGCAATCTGCCTTAACTAGGGTGTGAAGTAACTGCAGAAGACAGAGTAACTATTGGTCATTCACACTCAGGATCGGCCTACTTGGTCGGATGGGGTCGAAAAAGCTGACCCGGCAAGAGGAGCACCAGGAGCCCAAGCCCTGAGTCATTTTGCACAGCCTTCCACTCGGTTCCCGCCACTCAAGCCAAGGAGGGGACAGTGAGCGCAGGACTCAAAGGAAGCACCTGGCTGGTCCTGGCCAGGAAGCCTAGGGATGATCACCGAGGTGCAGCCTGCCATATTCGCCAACGTGCTGGGCGTGTCTCTCTCCTTGCTTGTCATTCTCTATCACTACGTGACCCTCAACAATCCCAAGAAACAGGAATGAAAGTGGTACTTTCTCCACCCCAGGGTTCCAGGACATAGTCTGAGGCCAGATGGAGGGTGTGAGGGGCCCTTCACACTTCACTTCATCCCTTCTGCCCATCACAACATACAAAGCAACTACACCTGGAATTTTCCAAACAAGTTTTATTTCCTCAGTCTTCTTAACCTTATGGAACAAGAAGCTGCCACTGAATAGAGTCCAGTATGGGGGCTACTTTCTTTTCTACTCCTTAATTAAAAAAAAAAAAAAAAGTCAGGGCAAGAAGGGATCCTGGATCTCCCACTAACCAATTCTGGGGCAATGTGAACCTCAAAATTAATGAGGTATAGGTTAGTGATTGAGTGCTTGCCTAGCAAGTATGAGGCTCTGGGTTCCAACACTGACGCTGCAAATTATTAATGATTGTTAACTTATAATAGCCCACTGATTAAAATGGGAACCCATAAGCCCATTTTGATATATATGAATGAACAAGTATAAAGGGTAGAGAGGGGAAAACTTCTCCATATAGAATAATATCAACTAATGTAGAAGGAGTTATAAAATTACAAAATCATATCTGGCAACTATAATATTAAAGTTGGTTTAAAACTGGGAGTGGCAACCATGTATCAAAACTAAAAGTTAGCCAGGTGTGGTGGCATACACCTATAATCCTAGCACCCAGCAAGCTGAGGCAGGAGGATTTCTGTGAGTTTGAGGCCAGCCTAGGCTACATAATGAGTTCAAGGGCAGTGTGAACTACATAGTAAGTCCCTGCCTTAAAAAAAAAAAAAAGTCCAGAACACAACAAAAACCTGAAAGCTAACAGATAAATGCAATTTTGATGTTTTAGGGGGAGTATTACATTTTTTAAAATAAAAGTGTGGGGGCCGGGGAGATGACTCAGTGGAATAAGCGCTTCCCTGGTAAGCGCAAGGGCCTGAGTTCAATCCCTGGTTCTGCAAAAAATAAATAAATAAATAAAAGTTTGAAAAAAAATTGAGACACATACCAAAAGTTTTTGAAACACATACCTACCTAAAGTATACACACACCAAAGTGTACAACTTGGTTCAGCTTATAACACTCCATGTCCAGATCAGGATGTGAAACATTCCCTACAATTCCAGAAGCACTTTCCTAGGCATCACCCTGCTCTTCTTCCATGAAGGTCAGTGACCATCTGATTCCTGTTATACAAAAATAATTTTGCCTATTTTTGAATGTTTTCTCCATGATTCTAATCATTCTCAATGACTTTCTTTTTCTTTTTTTGTCTTTTGATTCAGTGTTTCTCTATGAAGTTCAGGCTGGCTTTGAACTCATTTTGAAGCCCAGGCTGGGCTTGAACTTATATCTATAGGCACGAAGAATTGGTCAAAAAAATTAAAAAGAAGAAAATAATTAAGCATTAACTGTTTCTTTTGATAGACTGATAGAAATCACCAGTACAATTATCCAAGATATCATGTGCATATATCTATTTTTCTTTCTTTCTTTTCTTCTCTCTCTCTCTCCTCCTTTCCCTCATCCTAGTTGTTCCTTCCCTTTGAACAATTTCTTTCCCTTTCACAGTATCTATTGTATTTTTCAGGTCTTACTTATTCTTTCAGGTTCTTGCACTAGGGACATAGTACGATGTTTATACATATGAATCTGATCTATTTTACTTATGAGTATAATCTCTAGTTACATTCATTTAATGATAAAAGCCTGAAATTAATCCTGTTTTATAGCTGAATAATACCTCATTCTGTAAAAATGTCACATCTTTTTTTTATCCATTTCTTAGTTGATGGGCATTTGGGTTGTTTCTAAGATTTAGCTATGACAAATTGTTAACGTGAGTGCACATATATTGCTGTGGTATGATGTTTTCATTTCTTCTAGAAAAGTACCCAGGAGAGGGGGGTGGGGAGCCAGGTCAAATGGAACCCCTAATCCTAGTTTTTTGTTTTTTTTTGGTGGAACCAGGGATTGAACTCAGGTCCTTGTGCTTGCCAGGCAAGTGCTTATTCCACTGAGCTATCTCCCCGGCCCCAAAATAGGATTTTTTTTTGTTTGTTTGGTTGGTTTTTTGGCAGAACTGAGGATTGAACTTAGGCCCTTGTGCTTGACAAGGAAGCGCTTATTCCACTGAGCCATCTCCCTGGCCACAAATCCTAGTTTTTGAGGAATCTCCACACTAATTTCCATAGTATGTACCAGTCTACATTCCTACCAACAGTGAAGAAGGGGTCCTTTTTCTCCACAGCCCCTCTAGCATTTGTTAACTTCTTGATGATAGCCATTTTTTCTGGGTGAGATGGAATCTCAGTGTTGTTTTAATTTGCATTTCTCAAGAGACCAGTGATGTTGAATGTTTTTCTATATGTTAATTTGCCTTTTTTTTTTTTTTTTTTTTTTTTTGCTGAATTGGGGATTAACCTCAGGCCCTTACACTTGCCAGGGAAGTGCTTATTCCACTGAGCCATCTCCCTGGCCCCTTTTTTGTCTTTTTGAGACAGGATCTCACTATGCATTTCAGGTTGGCCTTGAGCTCACTTTGTAGCCCAGGCTGGTCTTGAACTAGCAACAGTCCTCCTGCCTCAGTCTCCTGAGTTCTGGAATTATAGGTGTGTACCGCCACACCCCGCTTGTATTTTTTTTTAAAAATTAATTAATTAATTTATGTGTGTGTGTTTGTGCTTGTGTGTGGCCAGCTCAGCCCACTAGGGGGCGGGGCTGGCTGGCATGTGGTCCTGGGGGATTGAACCGCAGTCCCTGTGCTTTGCTAAGCTTGTTCTAAGTAGGTGCTTTAGACTTCTGAGCCATCTCACCAGCCCTTGTATTTTTTTAATGTGTGTATTTTTCAACTTTATATTTGTGAGATTCATTTCTTATCACAAGCAGGTAAAATTCTATTTATTTATTTTGAGATTGAACCCAGTGGAACTCCACCATTGAGCTATAGCCCCAGCCCCTTTTGTTTTTTATTGTGAGACAAGGTCTCACTAAGTTGTCCAGGCTAGCCTTGAATTTTCCATCTTCCTTCCTCACCCTACATTAGTATCTAGGATTACAGGTGTGCATGCCTGGCTTGTCACACTGTATGTAAACAGACCAGAATATTTTTTGCACCTTCTGTGATTGTTGGACTCTGGGGTTAGGTAGCATGTGGTCTTGACAGTGGCTCCCAGTGATCTGAGCTGCCTGCTGTTTGTGACCTTATGTAATCCTCTTCCCTTGAATGTATACCTCACCTCATGATCAACTTGTAAAAAGCAGAATGTAGGGGCCGGGGAGATGGCTCAGTAGAATAAGCCCTTCCCTGGCAAGCGCAAGGGCCTGAGTTCAATCCCCGGTTCCACCGGGGGGAAAAAAAAAGGGGGGAGGCTGGTGAGATGGCTCAGTGGTCTAAAGCACCTACTTAGAACAAGCTTAACAAAGCACAGGGACCACGGTTCAATCCCCCGGCACCACATGCCAGCCAGCCCTGCCCCCTGCTGGGCTGAGCTGGCCACACACACACACACACACACACACACACACTCTTAAATAAATAAATAAAAAATAAAAAAAAAAAAAAAAGCAGAATGTGACAGACTATGCAGCTCAAACTTGTAGTGATCCTTCTGTTTTTAGCTTACCCAGCGCTAGGATTACAGGCATGTGCCACCACACCTGGATTCAGTTGCCAGCTAAGTATGCCCTGGGGGTCAGGCCAGTACAGTATGCCAGACTGGGGATCGAACCCTGGTACCTGTGCTTGCCAAAGCTGGCATTTAGTTTGCTGAGCTATCTGGCCCTTTTTTTTCTTTTTGAGGTGACTTTCATTTACTTTGATACACATTTTCCTCATGAAGATTTACAGGATCTTCAAGCCAATATAAATATTTGGACATTTGGGTATACACCTGCACAATACCTCAACAATATCTTTCAGCAAGAAAAATCCTGAAGAGTGAAGACTAGATACAATTACTAGGTACAATGAAAACCTGCCCCAAATATTTCTGAGGTAAAAAGGCACTACATACCTGTTCAATTAAGAAAACAAGGGGCCAGAGAGATGGCTCAGTAGAATAAGCACTTGCCTGGCAAGCAAAAGGGCCTGAGTTCAATCCCCGGTTCTGCAAAAAAAAAAAAAAAAAAAAAAAAAAAAGGAAGAAGAAAAAAGAAAACAATCTTTACAATACAAGATGATCTTTTATTTTTGAATAGGACCCAGAACCCAGTTAAGCTGCCAACTGGGTGCTGAATGGCACAGCTAAATCCCCAGCTTATGCCGTGAATTCACAGGGACCAGGCTCCAACAACTCAGGCTCCTTCCCATTGGTCCTCACACAGTGCGCTTTTCTGTGCAGGGCAGGCTGGCGCTTCAGTTGAACCCAGGTACCTTTCTCTTTGGCTTCCTTCTTTTTCTGATCAATTTCCTTGGCACATTTCAGAAAGCTATTGCGACTCTTTGAGTGTATGCTTAATGCACATGTTAATCCTCTTGCTCCTAACTTGCTTGTTTACAACAATGCCAATAGCATGGTAGGTAACATTATACTCTTCCAGTTTTGCCATGGCAACATTTTGTGGCATTCCTTTTTGCATAGTACCTATTTCCCAGATGTCTACAATATCACCCTTTCTGTAGATTTGCATATATGTGGCCCATGTTTTCTAAAAGGCCTAGAGAGTGTATACCAGGTTCCCCTCCTCTTGCCCTTTATGTTGGTCATTTTGGCAAATTACTGAAAGACGGTGGTTCTGGCCTAAAGACATGAATGTCACTTCTGAGATTGGGCTACAGCAGGACAGTGGCTTCTGTTTGGGCACTAGATCCTGCTTGCCCCTTTGGCCTGCTCACCTAGAGAAGAATGTCGCCCTAGGCAGCTGTCTTAGGGTGGTGCCTGTCATGAAACAAGAGCTTGAACAATCACAAGAGGAGCTTGGAAGCAGATCCCACTGCCCAGTCTTTTTTTTTTTTATTCTCGGAACCGGGGGTTGAACTCAGGCCCTTACGCTTGCAAAGGAAGTGCTTATTCTACTGAGCCATCTCCCCAGCCCCCTCCACTGCCTAGTCTTGAGAGGATTGCAGGCCTCACTGACAACCTGATTGCAACATCAGGACAGACCTTGAGTCAGTCATGAAGCTAAGATACGCTGGGCTCATGAACTCCTGTGTGCGTCAATGCATTAGGATGTGTTATTTCATTTGTTATGATGTCTCAGTTTCGGCCAGTGAGAATCAAGCTGAACCTCTCAGTC